TTTTTTCATTTTTTTATCGAAAATCGAAATACGTAACAATACTGCACTTCAAATTAGGTTGAATATAACTTCAAATAGAGTAATGCGGTAAGTGGGAGATGCGATTTGTACCTTCTGACCTTGTAGGCCAGCGTCCATCGTCTATCGTGAGGACATAAGTGCGGACTTTAGACAAAAAAGTGTTGGAGAATTACCGAAGTAGGCCAAACACTAAGACCTTGTATTGAGGGTCGTTGATCTGTTGTAGCATGGCACTGCCTGCACGCTCTCTGCATTTGTGTGTCACCCTAGACGGATGGAACTTGGATGCAGGCGGTTAGGTTGGAGGAGGCACCTCGAAGCATCCACCGCCTGATGTGGTGGCGAAGTCAACACATGTAACAAACACAAATTACAGGGCAAAGCAACAGACGGTTAGTCTTCAGTGAATACAAACGTCATGCCAACGGAAGACTTCCATGAAACGACCTGCTCTTTCGACAGGCATAAATAATTTGGGGGTGCGTTTTGTACTTACATGACTACTGACTGACTACTGAAGGCACAAGACTATTCTGTTGTAGCACATTTTTGATTCTTTGAATGGCCTTTGCCTCATAACGATGACTACCGAATTTGGGAGCTGAATTCTAGCGAGGCATTCAAGATCATGAGGAATGTTTGAGAAATTGAGCAGGAAAGAAAAAAACGTCTGGAAATTTAAAAGTGGCAAATTTCCTGGGATTTCAGACATTTTCAGTAAAATTATACAGAACAATTACATCATCATTTCACCGCATACGGACCCACAAGTTAGCATTGTAGGGATGAAGTGGGGCATCAATTGCCCAGATCGGCGAACAGGTCAAGCTCCCGATGATGACAGTACATGTAGGTACTTCTCCCCAAGGGCTACAACTCAATGGAATTTGGCCAATCAGCAAGCAATCTATTGGTGGCACGAAGTGGAAAACCAAGTGGTGGTCACCGCAGCCTCTACTCCTACAGTAATGTGCGTGGATGGGGAGAATTTGCTAATTTTCCACCGCTTTTTCGCCATCCATCTTCGCATAAGCTATCTTGAGGATAAAATAGCTTTGCTTGAGCCATTTTTGGTAAGAATGTTTATTCTAAAACCCTATTCTTCCTAAATTCTACACACGCATCCGACTCGAACCTCTGAAATCCTTTAAGTAGAATCAAACACGAATTCTTGGGGTAGACAAGCTCGAATTACATCAGGCCCTGGTGACAGAGTGTGATGTAAGGATTGAAAAGAGAAATAAACGTTGGTGGAAAACATAATAAGGAGTGCTAAATTAATGACAGACTGGTGGATACCTCTACTTTTGCATGCAAAAGGAAGCTACACGGAAAAACGCGCAATCGCTTCCGATCTCCTGATAATTTTAGTCCCTTCAACTCTGCATGATTTGGACTTGGAGTAAAAATATGATCTCTTTATTAAAAAAAGCTGTATTTTTAACTCCTACTCTTTTTTTAACTATGTTGACCGTAAGTGATGAATATTCAAAAAGCAGCCGCTTTTCAATTCGGATTTGTGGATTTGCTGCTCTTACAAGCTCACCGCACGAAACTTACAAGGAAATGCGGTTCGTAAAGAGCACGTTTTTACAGTTATTTGTAGTTCACATTTCAGCGCCTGGGGTCATTCTCAACGAAGGAGGTGGACTTAATGGAGTGAAGGGGTAGTCAAGTTGCTTCAAAAAATACCGAATGGCTATTTGCTGTCGAGGCGATAATGGCCCTAGGTTGCTTAAGTATAAGATTGCTGAAATGCCCTGCAAAGTTAGATTATCTACTAAAATTAAATCATAAAGGCATCTATGCTTTTGTAAGTCCTATCATCAACTGGCAAGTAATGTAGCAAAAATAGCAGCAAAAGTGGGAAAAGTGTCTACTTAATACCTTTTCAGTAGGCACTCTTCCCCAGAATTTACAAAAATGGTAAACAATTTTTTTCTGGTTAATTTAATCTTGAACCCTAATTAACTCACATTGGAATATAATACTATTTCCCCGAAATCCTCTTCTTACATCTTAAAGTAGCTCTGGCCTCGGAAAATACGGAAAGTTTACACTGGACGTGGCTGACATTGTCAATCAACAACCATCACTTCCAAATGCACTTTCTCTTGACTGGATGAAAATTTCACTCAATTGTGGTTCCCATTGTTTAAAGAGAAGAGAGATCCCGTAAAAATTGGGAGATAGTTATTGTTCTCCATTAAAAATTAACGAATTGTCTGTTCAGTTGCCTTGCTTTAATAATTTTCCCCTTATATATACAATAAATTTGTCCCTGTGGGAGAGTATATTAAAGGACTGTTAGCGAGCTGCCATGTCACAAAAAAAAGAAAAAAAGTAAGTTTTGGTGAAGAAGTTATTTGTTGAGTTAGAAGAGACATTTAATTCCCCACTTTTACAAAGAGCCAGGAGAGGAAAAATGTACCGTGACCGATCAAAAGCCGTGCCGAATTAATCAGTTTTGATGCACCTATCATTATACATATATGTATATATAAACCACTGACTCTCTTCTTAAACGTTTTAACAGCTTTAAAAGTAGGCAGAAAACTTTATTTTTGATAAAAATACTAATTTACACGAACAGAAGGTGTAAAGCCGAAGTACTGAAGGACTGGGTGTGGGGATACCAAAATGGCCCGGCGAGCAAGCCTCCTCGGGGAAGTACAAAGGTCGAGTCTGAAGTACCCGCCGAACAAAAATGAACAGCTAAATAAACAAACTGTGGCGAGCCAATACAGGTTTTGGAAATATAATGCAGTAAACACCTCCCTAACACTTCACAGATAAAGGTGTCAAAAATAAGTAAGCAGTTCTCGGAAAATTTTGTCTCCAAAACTTTCAAACAAATATGGTTCTCAACAAGTCCTATGTTTTGTACGTATCCAACGGTCAGTCAGGATGTATTTCATGCTCTCTGAGGGGTAGGTAACGGGGGCGTCCCACCTAGACCCTGATTTCACGTCCGCCTAGCAGTGAGTTAGCCATTTTGGGATTAGAGGAGGAAAATCTGCCCCCTACAGTACAGCTATTCCCCTATTTCTGAGAAATATGTCAAATTTTTTACTCACCTAACGTCCCCGTGACGTTTAAAATTCCCCCATCCACTAATTGCCACTTGTCATTTACTGACAAGTTGAGTTACTCCCGGAACCCCACACAAAATATTTTTAATCGTGATTTGAAAGACAGTTCTAGCAGAATTTTGATTCGACAATCATGCCAAGCAGTAGAGCCCTCGGGGTGGATGATTTGGCGGGTAGGTTGACGCCGTCTTCTTTCGCAAATTAATGTGACTCATAATTTCTACCTTTTTACTCTCTTTTCTTGAATATCCTGCCCGTTTTCTTATGTTCCAGTTGTTTGAGAAAACTTATGTGAAATTGTACTTCGCCTCTTTGAAAAGGACGTCTACATCTTCCAGGAGGCTTTTTGTTTAGGAGCTTTTAAAGTAGAGGCATGGGGAACGTATACAGGAGCAGGAAGACTTAAAAGTAAAATACCAGCTTACACTACTTTTAGAACGTAAAAAATATATATCTTTGATAATTTTTCTGTTCGTTTACTCTACACTTCAGTTTTGAGGGCACTTTAAGGCTTCGCCACTGTACCTTTCTGGGAGACGCGACCTCTGGGCCATGCTAGTAGCTTGCTCCCCAACCCCCCTCCGCGTCGACAACACAAATCCTCCCTTGATGTTGTCTTCTTTCATCTTCAGGGAAGTCTTGGCACGTTACACTGGTGTCAGTGGAAGACGCACATTATCCCAAGGGATAACTACCCTGATACCCATTGCTGAAGGCGAAACCTAAAAGTAAGGGAAGAAGAACTTGCAATGACCCCAACAAAAGGACTGAAAATGATGTCCAACTAAAGTAATTACCCTTGTTCCGTGCCCTGCAGAAGCGCTATTAACAACCAAATCAACGCTAGATGCAAACCATTTGGAAAATTTGTTGTGGAGCTGTCAACAGAAATTGCATGAAGCTGTCAATGAAGCCATCCCGCGATACCTCCCCCACCTTCCCACCAGCGGGACAGTTCCAGGTAGATTTGACTGAGCAGCACTGAAGAGATAAAAAATTGCCCCCACAACTGGGCCTGGGAGCAGGCAAATGTGGGACTGTCAGTAAACCTATTCACCTCGCTATTTGGTCAACAGCAACACTTATAATCGGTTTTTTGAGATACGAAAAAAGCGTTCACTTAAAAATAAAATTATTTCATCTGATATTTTATTAATATCACGACTAAGCCGGCTCCATAAAAGTTCTTTTTTAAAAGAGTTATCTTAAACTTAGCATATCTGTGTGGAGCTTAAGGTCTACCTGAATATATTACAGCGCCTGAGACTACTCCGAAGACAAAAGAAGGGATAATGCCTGGTCTAGGGGGAGGGGGTAGTGGGGGGGCCACAGCCATAGCTCGAAGGCCACGCCACCCAGTGGAAGTAAAAAGGCGGACACTTGATTACTCCCAAAGCCGAAAGAGGAATTAGACAAACAAAGCATTGAGATATCGCAAAATCCGTGAGTCTGAGTGGATAGAGAAGAGAAGAGCTTGTGACCCACTAACTGAGGGGATATAGATAGATGACTATGATTCCAAAATGCTGACCAGTCACGAAAGCTTAGAAGCATAAGAAATAATCAGTTACAGCTCTTTTTTGGGCGACTAAAGGTTTATTATCAAAGAATACAAACCTTAAAACTAAAGCATTTAATAAAAATATGTAAGAATTTACTAAACGAAGGGAGCACCAAAAACCTTTTATAAAAGGTTGACCTTAAATTTCCCCTACCGTGTCCTTTTCAGTTGATGCTGTAAAAATCTAGGCCTGTCATTCAACTGTATTTTTCAAAGGTTTGGGAGAAATGGACTTGAAAATGAGTAGGTAGCACATATCTCAAACCTTACAGAGAAGAAAAAAGTGACGTTTTTGCATCATTTCCTACTAATCTACATAAGGAAAAGGGGGTGGGATTTATTACGTATTTTAGACATTCATAATAGGAAAAACTTTTTTCTGAAAAAGCTCAACTTTCTGTGGAAGTTAAATGTCTTTTTTAGAAAAACCTTCATGGGGACGACACGAAATCAGGTTAAAACGTTACCACGGAAGAAGAGAAGATGCAGTAGGCAGTTGATAATGGTGACATTCGCAGAAGTCCTCTTCTCTAAACTAAGAAGTAACTCCCCTGCACATTCGAGTGCTGTTTCAGGTAGCCTTTTTGGTAGTTCTTCTGCTTTTTCTGATAACATGTTAAAGTAATGGTGCCATCTTCAGATTTTCCTTCAATTCCTTTTAGCCTGTAGCGTTTCTGCCCAAAGAAGAAGGAAATTTATAGCAAACCTTGGTCTATAAATAAAGTCACATGCTGTCGTACATTTTTAACCATTTTATTCAAATACTCTTCCTTTATCTTTTTAACCGGGACGACTAACTGGATGCATGAATATATTTTAACTGAATCATCTTTGTTTATCACTCAACTTTGTTTTGTGGATTTATAAAATTGTCTTGCCGTATTCAATAAATCCTCTTGCAAAAATTCCACATCAGCTTTAAATTAACTTTGGGAATTTCTCAGAAATTGTTTTATTCGATGAAGGTCCTCTTTCAGCTGACAGCGGCTCTTCTAAAAACGTGGCAAAAAGATATAACAGTGCCCTCTAACCTGCGCAAATAAAATGGTAAAAAAAAAAACAATCAAAGCAATAGTTCGTCTGCTCACCTAGCTATGCACATCAAAACTCTGGCAGAAACCCATCCGTGAATGTTTAAATACGGGGTATTTTAGGGGTGATCATCAAAGGACCGTACGAGAATGTGTAAGGAAGGAAATCGTAATTGCGCTTCTAAATGCGTCATATTTTAGCAAAATTTGGCCTGCATGGGTTTGTTGCTTATAACGCCTGTAAGACTCTAGGAGAGAAATTCAAGCCCTCCATGACTATCGGCAAATAAATATGCTCTTAAACTGTTATCTACCTAAAAAGTCGTATTTAGCATTTATAATCAAATAAGTCTGCTAAAGATATTTTGCAAAAATCCTAACAGTAATTTGAACAAAAATATTGCCATGTTTCTCGTAGAAAAAGTCCAAAAACCGCAAACTCCTATATGGAACTGGAGGACAGAGGGGAAGAGCTTGGTGACACATAAGTTGCGTATGTGCATACATGCATACTTGTATCAAAGTCAACGAAGGAGAGTGAAGTTGACTGAAAAGTATTGCCCGGTTTTTGAGCATAAAAGGTAGCAAACACTAAGTTATTGGAGGTCCTAAAGGCAAAATCCTGTTCCAAATTCTTAGCTCTGTAGCAAAAAGAACAATAGCTCCCTGAGAAATACGGTTTTGGATAATAGCTCCTTTTGGAACTTCCGCCTAATTGTTGAATTGCTTCTTTTTTGACAAGTTTTGTAAACTATAGTTTGCTGTTTGCTGGCGATAAGTGGGCCTCATAAAGTGGAAGGGAAGCTACGAACCGCAGTTCGCCAGTTATTCTTTCAATTACATACCACAGCCTGAGACTGTCAGAAACAATCAAACGTGTGGTTTATAAAAGTAACTTGTTTCGTAAGCCTATGTGCCAATCAGTTTTTCTCCACATAGAGTAAATAATTTGTTTGAAATAAACAAATACCACCTCATCTTAATGAGATCTAAAATATTTTGTTTTGTGCAGATGACAGCAGAAAATAGCTTGCTATATTTTTCATGAACTTTAGTAGATAAACCCGTTTTTGCCAAATTTTCCCGATCATGGAAGGATTTAACGACTTTTAGGGAATTTCACAATAACATCTGCTCTATTTTACCTAAACATATCAGTTTCGTTGCGCTAAAGGTTGTAAAGTTTTAATAACTTTACACTTCCTTTTAAAAAGATGCATTTCTGAGATAAAGGGGAGAAAGACTCATTTTATGCCATTTTTCATTCAAGTAGATTAAATCTAATTTAATTTATTTGGTGCTGGGTCGAGCCGACCAATCCAAAAATCTTGCCATCTATCCAATAGTATTTTCTCCTCACCTACAGACCACTGAAGATGCAAGGAATATTTGATTAGATGTCAGTCTCAATAAAATGCATTCAAAGTCAAATAGGTGAGTTCTCTTTTCCAAATTTACCTCTGAATTTTATTTTGTCTGTGTCTCTTGCTTCAACTATTCAGCACTTTTCACTACTTGTAAGGACCTATGAAAACAAGACTCTGACTCTAGATAGGACTATGCTTCCTACGGAAAATGTTTTAAAAAGGAAATATGTAAAGCTATGCGCCTATTCCAACGAAAAATAAGCTTGTTTGAAATTGACTCTTTGTCTCCCAATGCAAACAAGCAAACCTTAGCCACACGAGTGACTGCCGCATGTTTATTTTTGCCTCCCAGAAATGGTGAAAATTACTCAAAGGTGGGGTGAAGCGCCATTCCTGCCCCGCCTATCACAATGTTTCATGTTTGTTGTAGACAAGATTTACTTATAAGTTCATGCATTGCCTTCTAAGATTAGGACATTCCTTCTGCTTATTGGTTAGCAAAGTGTGTTGCTAAAGAAGGACCTGTCCTCTGACTTGTTTAGGTTAAGTCTTATTGTCCTGTCTTCATCAGGTAAACACCTTTGTCTACAGTCCACCGTACACGCACAAAAGCGTGGGGTTAATGGTGAAGGGAAGGTTCTTTGATAACCGGCATCGTAAAGCGAAAACTCTATCTCACCACAAGTTTGATAGGCTATAAAAACCCGAAAGTGATGCGTTTTGGAATATGATATGGAAAACAAACTTGTAGCCATTGAAGCTTACTGGAATTTGTTAATGGATGTGGGCGGTACTCACCTTTTTAACTTCCGTCACTTTCTCTCCTCAGATAATGCGGGCTTCAAGAAATTTTTTTAATAGTCACCCATGGGAAATGCTATCAAAAGTTGGACTTTTAACGTCCACAAGCAAATGGATTATAATTAGCAAAATCTGTTTCTTTATTTTAAGCAGAAACGGACCATGTTCTTAAGCATGGCACGGAGACCTTTGAGTGGACAGTTAGTTCTTCTATTACAAATCCGAAGAGCATGAGGGAATTTTGCAGCTTTGAAAGAGGGTCGCACATGGTTTGCAGAGCAGACAGGCTCGTATCACATCCGATTCCAAAGGTACTTCATAATGTGAGGAGAGGAAAGGGGAGGAATTTGGGGGGCAAGCCAGTAGAAATCATAGAGTCGGTGCCAGGTTGATGGATACCTCTCCTTTCTTACCCAATCAGCATATAATGCATATTTCAAGTTCTTACAAGTTGCAAAAAAATAATGGAAATAGTTGTACAAAGAAAGCACAAAATTTTTGAATGTTGTGTCTTGTAGGGAGAACGTGGTGTGCCCTAGAATGGACCGGGTGACTAATAAAAATACTGTTTGGAAGTACTGTTAAAGTACAATTCGCATTATCAAAACGGGTATTTCAAAGACAGTATTTGCACAGATTTTTGACCAACTTAACTAAGAACATTATTGGTAAACGGATGGTTTATTTACTACTTCAAAATGCTGTTTTGTCTTCCCTAAAAGAGTTTTAAATGTGCCTGCTATTAGCCAATTTTGCCTTAAAAGTGTTGAATGAATTGTTTCCGAGCCGCCAAAAGGCTGTTTTCCAAATTAGACCTAATTTTTTAACTCAAGACAATGCAAGCTTGCGTGGAAGCGACGCCAAAAACCCTAAAGCCCAAATCTTAATTAGACATTTTACGACCTCCTCCAAAATGAGACAAAATTATTTTCTAATTTGTTGGACTGTCTTTTAAAAATCAAAAAATGCTCTTCTAGTGAGGTGGACATCAACTCATCCAAATGAGTGTCAGATAAGTAGACATTGTTGCGCTTAATTTGAAGAAGGTAGTTTAGAGGTCTTAGTTAAATACCGCCTCTGGAGTAGATGTAAAACTCTGTTACTAGTAGGGCCACTAGGTGAAAAAAAAATGTTTCACAGACTACTGGAGACGCGATGAGTCTTCGACCTCAGTCGTGCAGCCCTCGGTTGAGGCTGATGGAGGACATTTGCGACACGAATTAATGAATGTGTTTGTCAAACCACTGAATTGTCAAGATACCTCTTATAGTATCACGAATGTAAGATAATAACTAGTCGTGGTAGGGAAAGTATATTTGTTATTCAAATTACTTTGTTCAGCCGTAAGCCATTACGAGCATAACGCATAAGATGCTCGACAGAGGCCATCTAAGGGAATGGCAACACCCTGCTCTAGATGTGTAGTTTTACAAAAAAAATAATCAAATATCTTCAGTGAGTTAGTCACTTAACACTGGGATTTTTACAAGGCAGTCGCATTTATTTTTATCTCTTGTTTTTATTAATTTTAAAAGAGAAATTATTTTGCTTCAAAGTAGTTCCTAATTATCCTGAAAATCTACTTCCCCCTAATAGCTGAGCGGATATAAGAATGCCCATTGCTGGTTAGTAAACTCTTTTAGTAGGACTAATATGTTGTTCGTTTAGCATTTCTCTGCTATTTTTTTCTTTTTCAAATATCCTTAAATTAGAACCTTCCATTGCTGTTTAATTAAACAAGGAAGAGGGACACATTTGCTCTTGCTTCATGGTGGACCGAGCCAATATTAGAGACTACGGACTCTTTGATTGCGTGTTTTTACAAAAAAAAGATGGCATTTTATTCTAAAGACTTGCTGTTTCAATTATAACTGAGCAAAACATAAAATTAGGATAATTAGAGGGTAGCATGATTTTATAGTAAGATGTGGCTGTGCCCGGTCTACTCCTAGTGCCACTTTTTTGTGAGATTTTTCTCCCTTTCATGCTCCTGTTGCGCTGGGATTTAGGTAAATATTTTTTGGCCGTGGACAACTGACATAATTCGCCCTTTTAACACATCAACCACCTTTGCGCATTAAAAACGTCTTATTTCGTTAAATACTCTACATTCCATACATTTGCAACAAAAATTTGTTTCTAAAGAATTTCTAATAATTTGCGAGCCTCAACTTTAGCATACTCGATTAATGGCTGACTAACCATCCATTTCTTCTTAATTACTTTTGATGGATGCAGCTACTTTTTTCTTAAAAGCAAAAATCCTCCGGTTCTCACTGAAGCTAACCCTTCACAAGAAGACGGCGGCTTTTCGTTGCCATAGAAGTCTACCCGTGTATAATTGGGATATTTGCATTTGCTTTGAGAAAAGTTTTATCCATTGCAAATTTCCCCTGGCAGCCGTGTTGTGCGGAGTTTACGGTTAAAAAGGCACAACGACAGACTAAATTAGCCGTCGAGTGTTTTCGTTCACAAATGTTTATTTGTGTTTCGGATTCCTTTATGCGCCAAAACACCCTTCAAAAGCAAATTAACAGAAATTAAATTTAATTTTCAATAAAGGATAATTTATAGGAAATTTTCCACAAAAATATGATCAAGTTTCAGTTAGCTAAATGACACCCCCTTAAATCCGACAAAGTGTGCTCCACATGTTTCAAAGACCTGAAACGCTAATATGTTAGGTGAATAAATGACGAAAAAAACCTTTTTTGTTAGGTCTCTGAAATACTCCACTGGCAGCAATTACCTTACACCAAATTAGTTATTTTGACTAAACTTTGCTATTAACACACTTTCACTTCACCAAATGAGGTGTCGTGACGATGCCCCTACAACATAATGCAAATTTAAACTTTTTAACTAAAACCACGCGACATGAAGCCTTTTGTGGGATGATTACTTGATACTTCCCCACCAGCCTCCTTCTGATCTCCTCATTGCTCCTGGCCGCACTTCATGTGAGTAATACGGCCTTCGCAGACGCCAAAATGGCATCAGACTTCATTGCGGAGCGAATGCTGGATGTCGCCGACTCAGAGGGTCTGGCAGACGCCGTATTGCCGTTGGTGCGTTGTTATGACCTACTGGAGGAGCTGCGCACTGAATGCAATCAGCGTTGTCGTGACAATGCACCCAGTGTCAATGCCTGCCTGCGGAACTGCTGGGGTGGGTGGAAGTATGGCCGTCTGACTTGTCGACTGCGCTATAGTTGAGAACAGGAACGACACTGCGCCGAAAGAATTGCTGACATCGCAGCTACTCATTCATTCAATCGCTCACATTCCTGTGCGAGGATTCGCAAATGCACTAACATCTCCTGTTGTCTTGTTTGAAAAATTAAGCTCTTCTATTTGACTACTTGTTGATATCTTTCTTGGTCTTAAATACATTGACCTCATTTCCATCACCTTGATCGCAGTCTCCATGCCAAAAGACAGTGCTTATCCTTATCCCGCACTAGGAGTTCAGGTAGTAGAGTATCTACACCACTCGGGGAAGTCCTTTATAATTAACTCTTTCTGTTTACAATCTCACTTTTTGGGATAGCTTTTGTTAGTTTTTTGAGGTCGAAGATTAGAGGCATGAAGGTTTCTCCTCGGGAATATCGCTGACCGAATTTCAAGTGCTCACAAAGTAAACGTTAACTTTGATTTCCTCCAAACGTTGTGCAGCTTTTGTGCCTCTCAAGGCACCGTAGAATGTAGGACCTACGACCACAAATCTTCCTCAGAAGAATTGTTATCTGCCATGTCAGATACCTACAGCTAAAGTGGTTAAAACTCGACTCTTTTCGCTGCACCGGAAGTGGCTCAAAGCATTTGAAGTTGCCAAAAACCATTTCACTTATAACAACTTTCGAATCCAGTAAAAAGCGGGTGTAAATAACCAAAAAAAGTGATTATTGCGCGACAAAATCTACTTTTTGATTGAAAACATACACCGCCGATGCACGGAAGTGACACCAACAACCCATCGCTGGGGATAAATAAAACTTTATGGTCCTCTGTAGAGACTTTAAAACGGATCAGTCGAAAGGGACTTTGAAGTCCACTGAGATTGGCTGATTTCCGAGGCCTGTTTGAAAGTGGAATCTGCCCTGATAGTATCCCAAAAGGACTGTAACCTCTTTGTCTCACTTCTGGTGACATTGAAGCAGAAGGAACTTCTCTCTGAAAAGTCCTCTCATCCCTCCCACAGGGATCTTTGCGTTAACTATTTGACAGTGGACAAGGGCTGTAAAATCGTCCGTTGAAGTTTGATTCCACTGGGAGGTGTGGACAATTACGTATTGATTTACAGTCAAACAGGACGCGGGATCACTCTTAGACTACTTTAGGTTACCACCTTTGGCTATGGCCATTTGTCAAGGAATTGTTAGGAGGGGTTTAAGTGAATACGCTTGTGCTGCATGGGGTATAACTTCTTGTCCTCCTAGGTTTAATCAGCCAGATCTCTTCTTTAGGGTTCTGGCTGTGGTAAAATGGACATCAGACACATTGGACAACCTCCAAAATTGGTCGCAATTCAGGAGATTTGTTTCTTAGTTTAATTCGCTTCAATTCATGACCCAATAGTAGAATCAGTGATAGCAAAATTTACAAGATTAAATTTTGAGTCGTTTCCTAATATGAAGAAGCGTGAACTCATGGGCGCCATTTACGCCTCTTTCTTCTGATTCTTTTTTAAATTTGCCATTTTGGAAAGCATATACTGCTTATTTCATAACTAGTAGCACAATATTGCAGGACTTATCAATTCCATGGTAAAACAATTTCAATACTTCGTCTATATAACTACTTTTTCTCCTTTTTAGCACGAAAATTAGGGAAATAAATGACAATCCAACTGCATTATTTTTCCATTAGGATATTCGTCACTAGTGAGAGGCAGAATTATTTAAATTTTGCTTTTCTTGGTTTCCCTACAACCGGTTAATTTTCCATGGATGGAACGTCATTTTTCGTCGTGTGAATTCGGTCTGTACAAAGTTATATGCAATCAAGCAATCCACCAGTCGGTGGAGAGCAACACTCGTGACTGTGGCTTGTGTTGAGGGCAGTAAGGGCGTTGCAATTGCTTAATTCAGTCCCCAACCTTAAAGAGGTGAAATTGGAGGCCACTGCACATGGTGTGGGGAGGAGACGCATTAACTGCCTTTTAATAATTAATTCAAATGCCTTTGTTCAACCGACAAATTTTGATAGCCATTATTTGGATACCTAGCAAATGATTGCCGTTTGATAAGCAACGAAGAATCACCCACCTTTTGGCTGTTAAAAGTGTACCCCATTCTGACTCTCTCCCCATTGGTTGTGGACGCCATTATCCTATTCCATAATGAAAGATTATGAGGGTGCGGCCTTTTTCACATGAATTAATTTTTAAAAGTAGCTTTTGTGCTGCTTTTTAGAATAAAGAATTTCAGTCACTTTAAAGTACGTTTAGACATTCCGGTGTTTAAACATTTTTCAAACGGAGATATGATCTTGTAAACCGCACCGACACTTCCCTCTGAGGGAGAAGAAGACACAGCACTCGGGCAGGATAGGCATTGTCGGCGTGCGGAAGTGATGAAGGTCCAGAGGCCATACCGCCCAAAGTAGGCACAGAGACGAAGTTTACAGTGCCCACAGAACCGGAAGAAAGAGTTGAGCAGACAGGGAATTGTAGCACTACTATCTACTGTCCATTTTACGTGCAAGTGTTTAATGCTGCTGCCATGAGATGCTAGTTAACACTTGCAGGAATACAGGAAGGATATGAAGCTGGAGGAGCAGGCAGTATCACCTTCCATCTCTATATTGGTGTTACACGTATTTCCGCTAAGTGTAAGTTTTGCTCTACCTGATAGGAATGGGAATTCCCTCCCATGACTGACTAGTCTAGTCCATTTTCATTCCATACCTGCCGGTTGTATAGCGTAGAGGCGACAGATCTTGGCGTTTGGTCTTCAGCAAACAATCAGCTCCGTCTGTATTCCACCACGCATACCACACAGAGTCTTGTGGTGATAAAACAATGTCTTGGAACGCTCAGTGATTACGGTCGATTCATTCGCTCTGCAAACGTTTCTCTATACCAGTCTCATTTCATCACCTGTTAGCCATCAAGCAATCTCTTCCCTAATGCTGTAAAAAAGTCGCCTTCCACCGTCTCGTACACAAAACAAATTTTTTAAAAATTTTAAAAACAATCTTATTCCTGTCTCATTTTACGGAAATGCTAAAGGTCTTTGTTTTAATGCCCCACTTCTCATCACTTATACCCCTACCCCACACACTCCCCATTTTAAGTCATATTTGGGGCTAAAGTGTACTAATTTGGAAGAAGCCGACATTAACTACGCAAAAGGAATTAATTAAAGGGCGCTAAAGTTTATCTTACTACTCAAAATTTTAGAAAACAGTCTCGTCTATTGCAGTTTCAAACAATGGACGATTTGTTACAAAGTTGACTGTTGAAATGTTACCAATTCCTGAAAGTGCACCTCATCCCCAAATCTACTTTATACAGGATAGCAATCATTTTTTTCTAGACCAAATTTTCATGCATTTAAAGTGTCTTCTTTAAAGTAATTGAGTAGTTTAGTTAGTAGTATATACCTGCACCTTTTTATGTGTACCTCAAACAGCCAACCGGTAAAGAAACGATACTTGAAACACACCGAGCAGTTGACCTAAGAATCAGCCAGTTCTTATTAAAAAGCACGATCTAGCACAATTTTTGGATGATTCCTTATTTCCAGAGGCACTTCCTAACTGTTCTGGGGAGAGAGGGGCGATTTTCCGACCTCTGTGTTGGATGCCAGTAAAAGTGCTAACTAGAAAATTGCGATTTTTGAACTAATTGTGAACAGTAGAGGAAAATGTAAAGTCATGGAGAATCCTTAAAAAAATGGGAGCGAGATGCTAGTTAGCTCAGTAGCACAAGATGCGGTGGTGGTAAGGGTGGATGTACATGTAATAAAATCCATTAAACAATTGGACATTAGTAGTTCCTAAAAGAGGATAGGAGGTCCAACCATTGGAAAAAAGGACATCAAAACGATGTCTGCGATGGTCGCTTTTGTAGTGTTTTCTAGCCTGCATCGATCATCCTTTTGAATACGTAAACGGTGCAGGAAGCTCTACTTCCATAAACACCAATGCATTACAGGGAGATTGTAAAGGGGACGAATCTTTCTACCAGAACAAGCATTTACCCCTTCGACGAGTTTACCTCCACTGGGTGTCATGATAACTTTCAGCTAATGATCAGCATAGATTTTATGACAACCGCCTCGAGTTGGTTTAACCTATTCGGGTGTCTGAAAGCACACCCCGAAGGCAATAAATTATGCAATCAAAAGCCTCATTCTCTCTAAAGTAACCCTGAGAGATGGGCTAGTAGACAAGATCCTGCAGAAGCATTATTAAACTTGGAACTGGGGTCACGCGACTAGAATGTCACGAGACAAGGCAGTGATGATCAAAGACTTCGGGATAGTGCAGATGTGATGACGTTTAGAGAAGCTTCGGCACCTTATCGGCTGACGGCATCGATGGATGTCAACTAATCGCTTAATAGCCAGACAAATTCAGACAGTTTTCGTGATAGACACAAGATTGGTGTGAATTACATTGTGGTATCATATGATGCTTTAGGAGGGAAAAGACTTTTCGTATCGCTGTCAGTTTTGCTCTCCACCTGTCTATTCCACTTCGCATATGAGCGTCGAAGAGTGTTGTCGAGGAAAGGCGATTTGTACTTGTAAAATCATGAGGGAAATAGGGAAGATGGGAAAGGGCTACTATTCTCCAATCCCCTCCCATTCCATCCAAATGTGTGCACTTCTCTACAAGGAGATCTAGCTGCATGAGATCATGCGTTGCCCTATAGGAAAGCAAACCTCCTTCTACTGTTTCTGAACAAGAAGTAAAAGTTCTTCTACATATTCGAGTTGTATTATGTGGAGTTAGGAAAAGTCAGCAGCTGACTGAGCTGCCATTTTTTAATGGGGTCTGATGTTGTGTTAAGGAGTCACCTAAATCCTGCCGCTCTTAGGCGGTTGAATCAGCACAGAGGTGTGACTCGGACCCAGTTGTTGCACCGTGGATATCACTGGAGATTAGACCGGAAACTGTCAGAGGCTGGGTCACTCGATCGGATTAATCGTGAGTACTTTATCTGTGGATTAGAGAGACTACATCTGAACATGGTCTCAGCCAACTAA